CATCTCGTCCTCCATGGCGGCGGGGGCGGCGGCGGCGCCTCGGCCGCACCCGTCAGGCGTGGGCGACCCGCGGGCCGAGTCCGCGAGGCAGGGAGGCGGCCCTCACGTAGGCCCGACGGACAACGAACCCGCCGCCCGTCCTCCCAAGATGGCGCTGCTGGGCGGAGAGGCCCGGCCGGCCGACGGAAAGGCACCTCCACGCATGCGCCACGTCTCCCGCCAGCGCACTCGCGCGAGAGGAAGCCCCGCCTCCCCGGGGGCTCACCCAATCCCGCCTCCCCTCGAGGCGTCCTTTCGGATGGGTGGGTCTCGCGAGACCTCTCCGGAGCGCGTGCGCAGTGGTGCTGTTGTACAGTTCGCAACCGTGCTCGGCTTCGTCTGCTTCTTGTAAAAGAAAATAATAGAATCAAGTCAGGGTTTAGGGAAGTATGCATATTTTATGGCGGGCGCCAAAAAACGGGGTGCTGAGTTGGGGGGGGAAAAAGCACTGCGCCGCCCGGGAATCGAACCCGGGTCGCAAGAATGGGAATCTTGCATGATACCACTACACCAGCGGCGCGCTTAAAGAAACATTTCGGAAAAATCATTTAGGAAGCAGAGACAAAAGAGCAGCATGCCCATCAAAGCATTTTGAAGATGGGCATTTGGATATAGTACATTTGCAAGTGGGTCTTTCCAAAAATGGCAAGCAATCATTAATCGATAGATGGAAAAACGTTTGAATTGAATGTGTTGACTCCCAAGAACACACTGCCCTATAAAACTGCAATCCCTTTTAGGAACGAGTAATTTGGAATAGCTATTAATCTTAATCAGACTACCTCCCTTCCTCAGCCTTTTTTCTTCACAGGCCTCATTAATGTGGATTACGCTTATTATAACCCGCCTTTCCTCTAGGGACCTTCAGGTTCCCACCCCAAATCTATTTTAATCTTACAACAACCCTGTAAGGTAAGGATATCAGCAAACGTGGAGTTAATTAATAAAATTGGAGTCAGGCTGGGGTAATAAACTACCAGACTCGCATTCCTCACCGCAGCATGCCAGCAGTCTCGGTTTTAAGTTTGCAAATTGGCTGGATGGGAAGATGTTAATTAGGTAAGGGAAATAGCTGTCAAGTCCAGGGCATTCGGCGGAGGAAAAGACAGAAGAAAAGAAGCTGATATGAAACTAGATAAGACTTGAAGAAACGTCATGAACATTGTCACTGGCACACATAGTTTGAATGTATAGTTATTATGGGATGTTAGTTACCGAGTGCACATGCCCAACTGTGTAACCGATCATGAAATTTCTGATAATGATGTGGTCTTTGAGTGTATAAAAGATATATGTTTTCTATTGTTCAGGGCTCTCTTCTTGGGAAGGAGTCCTCAATTACTAAGGTGCCTTAATAAATGAGTAACTGAGTTTCCGGAGTCCAGCCTTTCGTTGGGTTAAAGGGCTGGGCTGAAACCACAATTTTGTGGACAAGAGTAGGCTCATATAAAAAAAGTTCTGAGGCATCATTTATTTATTTACTTATTTATTTATATAGCCGCCCATCTCAGACCAGTGACTTGGAGATTAGCAGAGAGCAGATTCTTGTTCAGAGGCTTGGAATGAAGTGGCATGATGCCCAACTTCTTTTTCTCACTCTCGTGGACATGCCAGGGCCTGGTGCAAACTAGGCTTACTGTATATCCAAAGTCAAGCCATGCATTCAGTGGATAACATGCAGCTTCCACCACAATTTTCATCCAGGGCTTATTTTTAGCTTGCATGTCCCCTGAACCTGGAAGGGGTGCTCACTTACCATTAATTCCACCTTCTGGTCTTCCAATCTAGCAGCCTGAAACAGGAGCAGCTCTATTTCGCCAATCAACCCCTCTTCTTCTGGGTGTAGCGGGGTGAAATGGGTACACCAAAGCCAAGCCAAACTTCCCTCCTTTATTCTATCGGCATTTGAATGGGCCGGATCCAGCAGGCCTTTCTTTTCCTTTGCAAAGGACTGCAAGGTAGAACCTCCAACAGCAGGGGCAGTCTACCAGAGACACCCTACCGAGCAGAGCCAAGTGGAGGTCCTCCTCCAGCCAGCCTTCCTTGGTCTCCTTGACAAAGAAAAGCTGCATTGCTAAAAGCTAAGCCACGTTACTTCCATCAGCACCTCTATGGCTGCATTTGCACAGCTCTGCTCCCTCCTGTTATCAGTTCCACTGCATTCCTGAAACACCCACATTTCTGGGTTCATATGATACGCAGAACCATTAATGGCGGGGCCTGGGTTTGCACAACATTGTGGTTCTGTGTCTCATAATTACTTGAGTGAAGATAAGTCCTTGTTGAACTTCCCTCCTTCCTGGGTCTGAATAGATCTGAATTGCAAAGAGGTTAGTCCAGACACACCTAGAAAGTTTCAAAGCAAGAATATTGTTCTAAAAAGTTTCTAGCATGTCCAGCTGAAGTTTTGTAAAAAAATCGCTTTTAGAACCAGGCAAAGAGAATCAGAAGATGGGCTCCCAAATGCTTAGGAAATGTTCATTGGTGGCCCATATCTTGTCATATCCCTACAAATTAAAAAAAAAAAAAGTTTATCCCTGGATTTATTCCAATTACATTGCAGGTATTAAACAAACAAAACAGGTTATATTGCAGTGATTAAAAACAAATTATATTGCAGGTGTCATAATTCATACAAAGTCTGAAGATGAACACTCTCAACTTGACGAGTTTTGTAGCGTTAAAGACACGCACCGTCCAAATGCAACAGAAATTAAAAAAACAGACTCAATCAACAAGACTAAAAGTTACACGCACAAATTGTACGCTCACAGTATTGGCATATTTTTGTGTACTTTTTGTCTGCTTGTTCCAAGGAAATAGCATTTTTGAGGCGCTGGAAGGAAAGGAAGCCACTTATTTTCAAAGGAAGAGCGTATTTCCAAAACTGCCCTGAAATGAAGGCATCACCCGCGCTGCTCTAACCGCCGGAGTCCTGTTCCTCCACCTGCCCACTGGAGGCGGGGCGGACTTCAACTCCCAGAATCCCCGGCCCGCGCAGGGGAATAGTCTCTCCTCGCGTCGAGGCCGGCCCAGCCGGCCGCGCCTGAGGGGCCTCTGCCCGGCCC